CAAAAAACATAATGCTTAATATGCTACCCATAAAAATACTCTTAGTTCCCTACAAAACTTATTTTGAGAGTAAACAGAGTCAAAAGAAAATTCTCAATAAATGTATGTAATGATCTATAAATATCTTAAAATAAATATATTTTAATATTTGCAATCTATTGAAAATTTAATCTTTGGAAAGAGCTCACTACTTTGTAATATTTACAAATGACTTCTTTCAAAAGATTTGAACTTAGTTTATGAGCTATAAGAGCAAAACATTGAACAAGTTCAAGATATTTAAAGCTGATGTAGAAAATGCCACCAAAAAGAAGATCCAATCTATTTAGTATAATAACAATATTAAATATGTTTTAAAAGAATTTTTAGCTTTTTGCAAAGATTTTTGTATTACCATGTAAATTACAGAAGTTTACAACCTATATCGTAATGATATCGTTGAGAGTTATAATTGATCATTATTAGATATTGTATGTTATTTATTATTTAAAAATAATTATTTATTGTCTTATAGATAGAAGCTGAAAAAAAAACCATAGTCATATTAAACTTCTAATCTATAAAAAAATATCCAAACAAAATACCAAATGAATTATTCTTTGCTAAGAAACCTAATATATTCAAACTTTATGTCTTTGGTTCAATAGAATATATTCACATACTATTTGAAAAGAGATCAAAATTAAATTTAAATAGTCTTGAATATATGTTACTTAGCTATGTGTTAGGGACATAGTCTTTAGAACCTTCTAGAAACAAGTTTTTAGAACTTTCTAGAGACAAGTTTCTAGAACTTTCTAGAGACAAGCTTCTAAAACCTTCTAGAAGCAAGTCTCTGGAACCTTCTAGAAGCTTCTTAGTTGGTAGAAGATGAGGGACATAGTCCTTAGAACCTTCTAGAAATAAGTTTCTAGAACCTTCTAGAAGCAAGTCTCTGGAACCTTCTAGAAGCTTCTTAGTTGGTAGAAGTTGCTTGAGAAGCTTCCTAAATAGAAGTATATATTGGGATCGAGGCTGAAGAGTTCTTCAGTCTCGACAACACATCTCTTCGAGCTCTAGCTCACCTCTTTGGTGTTGTTCTTGTATTCATCTGATTAATCTAGTTCTTGCCAGTTCTTCTTGAACTTCTTGGTAGATATCAAGTCTGTATTCTGTGTCCGTGTCACTATGATGATAAGATAAAAGGGCACTAATATTATCTCTTTAGTAAGTTTTAAATTATTATATCAAGTAATATAAAGATAGTTAAATCTTATAAAATTAAGATTAGATTTAATCAAATATTTAAAGAAATAATAATGAAGAGACCAATATTGCCAACTACAAGCTATATACCAACACTATATATGATCTTTCATGAAAAAATTTCCATTTTAGATGCACTGAGCTCATCTCCTATATCATTATTCATAACCAACTTGTAATCTAATATACTTCTATTACTATTATCTATATCATCTTCTACATTATTATGACAATTTTCAAAGTCCATAATTTGATATTTGTAATAAGATCAAAAAACTTCAACTTGATTTGGTAACTTTGCCATCTTCATTGAGATTTTTGCTAGTACTATGGAAGATGGCAAAAATTTGATCTTTAAAGATGCTATACAAAATCTATATTAGAATATTGCAATTAAATCCAAATACAATTAAATCTAATAAAATCACACTTAAAACTTAATAGAATTAACTTTAAAAAAAACTCTTATAATTTTACAATAGATTTTATAATTAAAATTAAAGATAAATATTGAAGCTGTCTACTATAAAGCTTGATTAATTGCTCGCAAATTCTAATAAAAACATTGCATTGATTATTAAGAAATTTTAGTACCTATTTTCAGATAGGAATCAATTTAAATAATAGTTAGTACTATAGCTTACAAAAATTGATAAAATCCATCAAATAGATGCCTAACAAGTTTCTTAAATAACCATTTAGATGAAGAGGTTTGTTTTGACTAATCAAAAGGATTTTTATACCAAGATACAAACATAAGATATGTCATCTTTATTACACACTCTACAAGCTCAAATAAAGCTCGAGAGTCTAATATGCTTATATGAACCACTACCCTTGTAGCTGAGGTATACATAAGGCCAATATTATCCTAATATCTATTATTAATATAGTCATAGTAGCACTATGATTTTTTTATATTAATAATATACAAAATATTTTATCTCTTTTTAAAAATCATTAATTAATATTCAACAAAGTGATCTCAAACAACAGCCAACTTCCTTTCTTTTACTAAAGACAACAAAGATTGTGCTATATGGCTTATAAAGGCCAATATGGCCATGGAGCAATATATACATGGTATAGTAGGTTGTACTTCAAATAATTTCATTTTATGTGGTATAATTAAGGACCAAAAATGTACCATAAACCAATACAAAAATATCATCTATGAACTTCAATTTTTTTATAACATACTAGATACAAGCTTGAAGAGGCATAAGGCACAATTGTAGCTTACAAGGCTATCTATGACATTATAGACCAATAGATTGAACCATTAGAAATATCCAACAAAAAGACTAAATAATGCCATAAGAAACTTCTTGCCACAAATATTTAGTTATAACAAGAGATATATAAGGTTAAAGAATGGAGAGGGATGATTGTCAATGAATTGAAGTAAAAGATTCAATAAATAGAAAAAAAATGCCTTCTCTTGAAAGCAGTCCAACAAAATTTTGAAGCCAATTGCATTAAGTGGATTCAGAAGTTAACATTCATCATTACCTTTAATGCAACATGACTGGTGGAACAAAGTCTTGATACTTAAGAAGCCAAAAAAGATGTCTTTATATAATAATATATTCCAAATGTGATGAATAGATTAGAGTTACAAGACAAAGATGAAAGATGAAAACTACAAGAGATAAGAATAGATAAACAAAATATTGAATCTATTAGGATAGTAATTAAAATACCTTCTCTAGGAAAACTTAGATCTTTCAAGTCACAACCCTTAGCCTATGGTTCCATCTCTTTAGCTACAAATTCTAATCTTAAAACTACAAACAAAGGCAGATGGTGCAAAATCAAATGTTGTCTTAATAATTTTATTCCTTAGTTTTAAGAAATACAAGGATAGTTGCAACAAAAAATAATTCCTAATATTGAATAAAGAATTTTAAGACAATAATGATGATGAAAGAAATGATGCCACAAAATAAGAAGTGATGAACAAAGCAGTATGAACTTACTTTTAAAGCAATCCAAACTACACCTATTTGTATGAAGATTTGGGTGAAAAGATAGAATATTCAATATGCAACCAAATAATAGAAAAAATAGTTTTTGATATCTATACTCATACATC